ATAATTTGTTCTCCTTCAAAGAATGCTTGAAAAAAGAAAAGAAGGAAAAGTTCATCGTCATTGACTAATAGTCTCTGCTTTTTATTTGTCTTTGCACAAAAAAAGAGATGCAAAGAAGAAAAATGATGACGATGATCTATGTACTACACCCAAAAATTGTTGCAATGAGTGCAAGAAATTTGGGAAGACACATTCTATTGGAAAGATTACTATAAGAAACAACACCTATCAATATGACTTCTTTTACTACAATTTTACTAGAAGCATATTTGTTTTACTACATCACGAATAATTCTCAATTTTTTGACATTTTTTATTGCATAGAAATGTGATGATTGTTCCTTTAAATTATTGACATTACCATTGTGTTTATTCACAATAAGTTTCAAGAAGGGTTTTACTTCACTAGATACAAATAGTGTGCATAATTTTAAAAGTAATCAGTGTCACCATATTTATGATATTTGTATGTACTTGTACATTTCAAATGAATGCATCATTTATTTATAGTATCGAAAATTCGCAAAGATCTTAAAGCAATGACTGACTATCTAAGAGAAAATTACAAATCAAATGAGTAAACGAATAATAGCAATATTCAATTTACCTAAAGTCAAATTTTCCATATTTATTAACACCTATCATGTATTAATATATAATCATTTTACATTAATCCACTTGCCTTCATTTGATCTTGATTAACATAAACCCAGGGCATCCTCACGCATCGCGTGAGGCTGAAAAAACTATGTTACAAAAAGTTTAGAGTAAAGAAGCGAATTGAGATACATTGTAGATGTTTATAATGGAAATGATTATGACGGAAGAAGGAAGCAGGGAAGGGAAAGGAGAGATCTATAATTACACACTATTACACGTATTCATCGCTTTCCAATACTATCTAAAGCCTCGCCGATTTACCACACCACTGTCCAATCTCTTTGCTCCAATCAAATTATTTGAATACCCTATAACCATTTCCAACCCTTTAATCCACCTCTCCCAATTGTTCTCATTCTATTTATAGCCTAAGACTAGCGCACAAAACAACCAATTTGTCCTCGTCCCTATTTACTATAATCTAACAACCCACAAAACAATGATAACCCAACTCAAAATCCCTTCCAAACCAAGTCAATGGAATTCAAATCCAAAAACTATTCTGAATTTTCACTAATCTGGATCAACCCATTGATCAATTATATCATCTGTTTAAGGCAATTGATAAACTAGGTTACGATCCTCGTACTGTTACTATCTCCATTTTTGTTTATTATTCTGGAACTCTTGAGTCATTCAATCATGAACGGTTGGCCATTAAAACACAAAATTAGGATATGACTAATGTAAGAGACACCATTCTCATAAGAAAATGAGAACAAGGACCGAACGATAGCAAAAATCAACATGGAGTACTATTGGAGGAAATCGTTACTATTCAGGAGTTTGTTGATGTTAACCACTGAACTTGGCTCAGTGGGCACCAGGGAGGGTCTTGAGTCTCTCCTTGAGTTGTAGGTGAGGGTTCAAATTCCACCTGCAGTAAAAAAAATTCAAAAGTTGTGCCAAAACACTCCTTTAGTCTAAGTAAGATCTGTATACCCGTTAGTTCCAAACATAGCCTCTTTAGGGTAGGGGTGAAGCTGAACCAAGTAGCTCGGTTCGAGCTCGCGAGCTATTTGGTCAGCAGCTCGAGCTGCTCGTTAGAGCTATCGAGTCGAGTTCGAGCTTGGAAAGCTCGAGTTTGGAAATATAATACTCGAGAACTCGACGAGCTCTATCGAGTTTTTTATAATATATATTTTAATTTTTATTATTGTGATATGTCAATAATATCCTTTATTTAAAATTATATATAAAATATTAATTTTTATTACTTGAGCTTGATTAGGTTCGATTGAGCTCGAATAAGCTTGATTGAGCTTGATTTGAATTAATTACATTTAATTAAACTCGAACTCGAGTTCCATAAATTGATGTCGAGCTCGAGCTCGAATTTTAAAAGCTTGACGAGATCGAGCTCGAGCTTAGTTATTTTGCCTCGAGTAGTGCACTACTCGAGTTCGACTCGACTCGACAGCACCCCTACTTTAGGGTTCTCCTCCCCTCTAGTTTAGCATAAATAGGTTATACAATAGTTGTTGTTTCTGAAAAAAAAAAAAAAAAAAGGAGTTTGTTGATGTTGAACACTAGATGGCGTAACGGATGCTAATTATGTAAGGTTAACAAGACGTCATCGAAACGAGTCCGTGACAAAATGGATGATATAAAACCGCCAAAAGATATGGATAACATAAAGCTGCTTGTGTTCACATGACGTTTTGAAACTGCTATTTGGGACTTACTGCTTCACTTTAAAAGCTTTCTTTTGGTGAATTTTTGCACAAGAAATTGATACATAACATGGGCCTTAATTATGGGCTGGGCAATTGCAGCACTCAGTTTCTCCTCCTGTTTAGAGTTTCTTCTCTCATTCAGAGGAACAATCATACCGGGACACACCAATTTGTAGTTGTGCTCGAATTCTCGGAACAGTTGTGTGTTAATAACTTGCAAGTGATGCCATGGAATTACGACCAAACTGATAACTGCTATCACTAGGGCTGGGAAAGTTAGGAAGGTCGTAGGTGATCTCGATATCTGTGTTAAGTGTGTTTGGATTGCTAAATTATCCTAAATAATATTTCACTTGCATCATAAACACATTTCTCAATTCACTTTTTTATATTCCTAACTACTTTTTATCTCGCATACATCACATCACAAAAAGTATTACAGTAATTATTCTAAATAATATTTCAAATAATATATTATCCAAACATACATCCCTATAGCATAGTGGAAAATAGAATGTGTACTTGTGGTGAAAGATATCTATTTGACAAATTTTTTGAAATTATCCCTTAAACTAAGATTTTTTTAAATTAAACTAAGATAAAAGTGATGCATAGAGTTTAATGATAACTTTTCTAAAATGATGCCTTAAAACCCAAAATAAAGTGATGTATAGAGTTTGGGATGTCATTGAAAAACACTTTTTATTCCAATACTACCACAATTTACAATCAAATCTTCAAGAATTTTTGTTAGAATTTTTGTTTAACCTCTAACCTCTAATATACATGTTTGGCACGCATCGTGTCTAAAGCAAAAACCAAAATTTGACATCATAACACATTCCAATAATGAAAAAGAGAATGATGGAGAAATTAAAATAGAAAATCATATCAAAATCCTAGGCAAGCCAGATACATAATTACACGTAATCCAAATGAATCAACCTACTTGCATGTTTAACATCAAAACACCTAGTTGTGTGTACACAAAAGAGCTAGTAATTTGATGTTTAGATCTAGTTTCATGTATATTAAAGATATAGTAGTTTGTTTAGAGACGCTATAAACTTAGTCGATTGGTGAAATATTGCTATTATAGACCAAATTTTGAAAAATGATCACGAGTTAATCTGTCTAACTACCATGTCATTGATTTGAAGAATAACTTGGGCACCAAATGGAGCAAAATTCAAAAAAAATTTTTGGTTTAAAATTACAAGAATCATTGCAAATATTATGTTAAAAGAGATGATTAGTTTGTTTTACCGAATCTTGTAATCATTAGTGTAATTTTGTTAGTTATTTGAGTTATTTAATTTTATTAAATATGAACTTTTTGAATGGTTAAATTTGAGTATTAATTGTTTTTAAATTTTAATTATTTTTATTCTTTTGTTAATACAACTTATGTACATGCATAAGAGCTATTTATAAAATAAAAGTTTCATCTCTCTCCTTACAGTGTTTTTTTAATGTTACTTTTTTTAATTGGACCAACTTTGTTATCAAAACATTAACCTCAGCCAAGATTTGTGTAATTTTACAGATTTCAGAAGACGCTGGTGAAATTATCAGAAACCTCATAGGAGGTTTCTAAAATTATCCCCATAGATTAACTAGTCAATTTTCAAATATCTGCATTTCGGATGCGCGAGGTTGATGGTCTAAGCAATCAGTAGTCTAGTCTGTCCTCGGCCAAGATACATTGTATCGAAATGTCTAGCCAGGCTTACAGAGTTCCCTGTATGTAACCTACGGTTGGAACTTGGAAGTATATCCCAGTTCCTGCAAGCACCTAATGGTTCTGCAAGAAAAATAAATACTACTCTCCAACAACTAGCGGACTCAGTTATAAGTGTAATAAATACTACTGTTTATATAATACTGGCTCCCAGAATTGTGCTTGAACCTGTTGCTGTTGGAATCATGGTTCACAGTCGTGGTCGTGGTTGTGATCGCAGTTTGGAACGTTCCACATCGGTCTCGGCATATCGATTGCGATCTCGACGAGACGCAAATTTTTGAAATATTTAATATTCTAAAAATTATAAAAATATATGATAAAAAATAATTAAAAATTAATAAAAATAATAAAAATTCGAACTGACTCGAGACTAGTCAGAACGACTCAGCCGTTTCTATTCATTTCGGAGACGTCTCGGTTGAGTTCTCAAGATTTATTATCTCGGAGTCATCTCGTCCCGATATCGGATCGGAAAGCTCCATTCTAGTGGCGACTCGGCCGAGTATTGAACCATGGTTGGAATCTGAACAAATTGTTGAAACTAAATGGGATAAACGCCATCAGATGCCAAAGAAGACCCGGAGCGAAAGGACAAGAAATGGGATTACAAGAAGAAGTGAATACATATGCATTAATGAACACGTAGCAACTGTGATCTAATTAGCATCGTGGTAGTTTTGTCGCCATAAGAAATAACAAAAGAAGACACAAATCCATGCAGATCCCATATGCCTTTGCATTCAACACCTGGCTCCCTCGTTCGTTGCAGTTTGACACATGAACGCTCGGACGCAGCCATAGTTTCCTCCTACATCATCCCACAAAACAATATAATACGTGAGATAGAAAGTAGGATAGAAGATATTTTGGGCCGAAAACCCTCTCTCTCAGGTCTCTTGTCCCGATTCATCCTCCTGATTGCTACAACCGATTTAATGATTTGGGGTGTTCAATAATCCATCATCTCATTAAACGTAATTTGCTGTACATAGTTTTTTTTGAACTCTTTTAGTTAAATGAATTGTTCAACTAGATAGGAGTAGAGGTGAAAGATAAAACAATCTACTCGATATTCGAATCAAGTTTGATAATATCGAATCAAGTTTGATAAGAACTCTTTCGATTTTTGGTTCGTTAACTAGTTAAACATTCATGTTCGACAGCCTCAGACACAACATGGTGCCACTTGTCATATTACCCAGTTGTATCATGACGAGCAAGCTCCTCCTAGGTTACACATGTCGTCTAAACCAAGTATCAATTGGGATTCGATCAATTTGGTCAATTCTTTCCTCGCTCGTATAATATAAAGCATCCCAAACAGGCAAATATCACCGCCCAAAACTCCTTTCGTATCACTAAAAAGATAAACCTTGTGACAATCATGCATGATGGAAAGAGTGGAGAATGAGGGTGTGAATGTAGGAATTCCAGTAGATAAAAAGCCCAAGAAAGAAGCAGCAATCAGTACTTCGATGAAGAAAATCACCGTTGGAGGTTCAAGAAAAGGGTGCATGAGGGGCAAAGGCGGGCCAGAAAATGCATTTTGCACCTACAGGGGTGTTAGGCAACGGACCTGGGGGAAATGGGTAGCTGAAATTCGTGAGCCAAATCACGGTGCAAGAGTTTGGCTAGGCACTTTCAACACCTCTTATGAAGCCGCCAGAGCCTACGATGACGCAGCCAAAAGGCTTTATGGCAAATGTGCTAAGCTGAATTTACCAGAAGAAGATCAACCCCCATCCCCTCCCGGTAGTTCATCAGTTGCTTCAGCAGCGTACAGCAATAATACGGGGTATAAAAACGGCCAAGACTTGACCAATGAACATCAATCTCCTGAACTCGAAGACAAGAAAAATGGGACTTCTGTTCTTGATGAAGTGTCCATTTTTAAGGATATAAATGGAGAGTTTGCCTTTGACGAGACTCCGGCTCCCAGCCTGCTTGGTGAGGAGCAGATTCTGAATTGGCCTGAATATCCATTTGATAATGGTTTTCATTGGTCAAATGATGGTGGAATTAGTGTTGGTGGATTGATTGATCATGCTGTGGTTTACAAGCTCCTTGGACCTCCTAATTAGTACATAATTAATAGGCAACTGTCCTCAATCATCATGTATGTGTATAATAAATGTGTGTTGAGTGTGTACGTACAAATGACTAGTACTAGCTAGTAGGGTACTGTCGTTCATCTAACAGCAAAACCCAAAACAAACAAAAGAAGTAGAAATATCGTTCTGATGAAGACAGAAGAAATGCTTTAGTTTTTGCTTGTGTTTTGCTGGTATTGATTTCTTTTTCTTTCTTCTTCTTCCTTTTTTATTTGGGCATTTTTCCTGTGTCGAATGGAGGCCTTTTTGCAACAAAAAAAATTGTTCTAGCCTCTTCTTCGGGACGGAAGAAGGCTGCTGGATTTGTTTTTCATTCTTTGGGTGGATTGGTGTGGTTTTTTTTTTGGTACTTACATTCAATCTTTTCCCATCCCGTGGGTTGAGAGTTGTAGTGATGGAGTGATTTCGTCAAGAATATCGCAACGGATCTTCTGTCCCACACTCTGTGCCATTCTCTGTCTCACTTTTTATTATATTGCTATTTCTCCTTCATAAACATCATGTTTTAGTTCTTTTTTGTTTCCTTAAGATCCAATAATTATTAATTCAGTAATACACAAAATTTAATAAACTCAAAAAACCAAAATGCACAAAAAATGAGATCTTTTATGCATTTTCTGCTATATTTTTTAATTTTCTATTATATATAGCTTTTTTTAAGTTGTTGTATTTATTTTTTACTGAATTAATAGTTATTGAATCATAAGGAAACAAAAAAGAACTAAAATATGATGTTTATGAAGGAGAAATAGCAATATAATAAAAAGTGAGACAGAGAATGGCACAGAGTGTGAGACAGAAGATCCGCAAGAATATTCTGTTTTAAATACATTGAATTTTTTGGTTTGGATGATGGACTTTGATGTTGCTTGCTCCGTGGAAAGTGGAAAAGATAATTAGATGAGCTATATAAATTTTTGTCCAACCCAAAAAAAAAAAAAAAAAAACAGCTTCCACATCTGTCTCTCGTTATGAATGTTTTTCAACATTACAGCATTTGAAGAGTAGTTTGCAGGCCTGGTTATGGACGTTTATGAATTCTTATTCTACTTTTCACACCATACCATTTTATTCCAATTCTTGTTTAAACGTATGACAGTTAATATCCAAAACCTTGCGGTATATATCTTTTTACCTTATCCACCTGTCAAGCCAATATATGCAACATGGCTTTGGCGGCATCACGGCTAATCCATGCCACGACGAGGCATTCCCCTGTTATGTGTCTGAGACAAAAATTTTCCATCAGTGTTGTTAGATCCGGATCGGATCGAATCGATCGATTGTGAATCAATTTTCTTTCCAAACTGATTTGGCAAAAAGTCAGTTAAAACCATCAAAAAATCGGTCAAACTAGCGGTCCGATTCGATTAATAGCCTGGTTTTCAAATTTTTTTTCTATGTTTTTAAATATAATTTAAATTATCTAAATTGTAAAGTTTTCATTTATTAATAGGAACAAAAAAAGCCACACACCTAGTGTAAATACAAATATCATTCGCTTCTCTAAATGATTTTCATTCCTATCATCTTATCAATTTAGCATCAATGATTCCAACTTGCATAACTTGTTTTAATTTAGTTTTTCACTTTTTTTTGCAAATCTAATATTTTTTAAACATTTTGTATAGTTGGCTGAATATAATCAAGAACTTAATTTCAATATTTTTTAAACTTATAGATATATTAAATAGTTATGATATCATACTGATGTCAGCGGGTTTTGGAGATAGATCCGACCAATCCGATTAGTTGAAACCTGACTCAATGGCCTTGTTTGGTAAACAAGTTTTTTGCCAAGTTTGTTTGCTACAAGTTTTTAAAAAACTTTAGTTACGGTAGTTTCAAAAAACTTCTCAAAAGTATACACTTCAAAATATTAAAAAAAACGTATTTCAAAAAATTTTTTAAAAACTTTTGTAGTAAACTACAGTAAAATTTTAAACAAACACTCAAAAAACTCACTTGCCAAACGGGGCCAATAGTTTAGCCGAGTCACTGTTCTGTTCGAGATTGCTTTCCATCATGCAAAAGCAAATCCTAAATCTCCAAAAGCGGTAGCATCAAATATAGCTTAGCCATTTTACAGACAAGAACGCATTTTCAATGTCCAAGCGAACATCTGTAGCGTATCCAAATCCAACAAGGGTTATAATTCCTCCCAAGTAGAGTAGCAAACGAGCCGAGTCGAGTCGAATTTTGACTTAATCGAGTCGAATCTTAACTTATTTTTATTGAAGTCGAACTCGAGCTCGAGTTTGACGAGCTGACAATTTAAAGCTCGAGCCGAGTTTGAGCTCGAAAAAAAATTATTTTATTTAAAAAAATAAATAAAATAATATTTTTTCTTAATAAATAATAAAATGTTAAGGATATATATAATTTTACTATTAAAAAGAAAAGAAAAGAAAAGAAGAGAGGACAGAGAGAGGGGATTCACATGCTTGTGTGTTTGTGTGAGCATTGAATGAATGAAAGTCAAATATGAAAAAGGAGGGGATTAGGTTTGTCTTATTTAATTTGCTTCACTATCTTAATACTTTTTGATATTCTGTTATGACCCTTTAGTTTTACGACACTGTAAATCCACTCATAGACATTTCTAAGTTATAAACTCACAAAATATTCCAACTTAAGGGAACTTTGTCATATTATTTTAGTATTTTACATATAATTAAGATATATTTATGACACTATTATTACGTCATTTGGTTCTTTGGTTTTTCATCCTGATTCAACTATTGGTCCTTGAATTTGATTGAGTCATTGCTTGATGTGAGTTTCAAAACATTGGTATAAACGAAATTCGCCTGTAAGTCTACTTAAATGACTCGAACTTTTTGCTTGAACCTGAAATGAACTGCAATAAATAGTCTTAATTGATATCCCACACACATCTCCTATAGCCATGGAACTGATTCAAAAGCGCAATTGCGAAACCCTCTCCCTTTCATGATATACAGTTGATTTGCATATCATATGTGGAAATGAATCCCACGTTTTTGTGTTCTATCTCTTATTCTTTCACTAGTACGTACATCTTTTAACGAGTCAAAAATGACATTGGCAAGTACACGTGAAAGGAGCGTACATTACCAGAAGTCCAGAAGTTGAAGCTAAATTGGCCAGAAACTGCTGAACTGATATGCACATAAGGAGCCAACAGCCCAAGAGGCTGTTGGTTAAAGTCTTGGTTTGCCTCCCACCATACTTGTCACTTAATTGTGGCTGTCACCTTCGGGCGACTTCTTTCGACAGGATTTTTCATCGATTATACTTCTTTAAATTATGTTAGACTAGATTATACAACTGTTAGCATCGATTATACTCCCCCTCCCCCTTTCCCATCATACTCCCCCTTCCCCTAGATCATCTAAGTGTTAGTGCTATGTACATCTTGGTTGATGAAAGTTCAAATGCAACTCTAAGAAAATTTTAATCAAAGCCCAGAAAAGGAAAACGAGTAGCATGTATGAGAGGCCACTTTGGATTTTGCATTATGTGTAAATTCTGTGTACTTTCTGCTGCAAAAAACGAATTAAGGGCCTCTTTGATAAATGGGTACGAGGGATAGGAACGAGGGCTAGAGTTAATGATACTCATATTTATTGTTTGATAGTTCACTAGATAAATTATTTGATGGGAATGAAAGTATTAGATCTTATCTTTTATCATTCCCCACGTATAACTTGGGTTTCAATTCAATTAATTCTTTAATATAATAATGGAACTCATCCCACTTCCAAACCACACCCGTAAGAGGGAATTATTATAACGTATAATAGTGTCGAGGGATGCAAACCAGTCGAATCTTGACATAATTTTACAAAGCTCGAGCTCGAGCTTGAGTTGGTCAAAATGTCAAACTCGAGCTCGAGTTTAAAAAAATAAAAAAATAATTATTTTGTTTTTAAAAATAAATAAAATAATAATTTTTCTTGACAAATAATAAAATATTAGAGATATATATGTAATTTTACTATTAAAATAAAAAAATTAATATATATAATCGAGTTCGAGTCAGCTCGCGAACTAACGAGTTTAGTATTTTTTAACTCGAATTCGACTTGGTCAAATCGATCTTGACTCGAGATCGATGTTGACTGAGTTCGACTCGAGTTTGGACTCGAGCCGCTTGCGAGCGGTTTGATTCTTTTGTAGCTTTAGCAGGGTCTATAATTCTAATTTCAATTATGATGCCAAATCTAGAATCCGAACCAAACAACTTCTAAATTTTATATATTATGAGTGTTATAAGGATGTGGTAACAATATATATTTTAAGAAAGAAGGAAATGATAATAATGTAAATGAACCTTTTTTATGCATCATCTAATTTACACTGTACTTAAATATTACTTTCAGGAAAAAAATTTTAAGGCCTTTTAACCCAAAAACGTAATACTCCCTCCGTCCCACTTTGATAGTCCTGTTTTTCTTTTTTGTCTGTCCCAAATTGCAGTCCACTTTCCAATTGAAGAATGTAGTTGTATTTTCATTTTCCTAAAATACCCTTATTCAATACAAGTTGTTGTTGCTATAAACCTACCTCATTTAATGAGAGTTGATTCTTTTTTTATCATCAATTCAAGTTCCCATAAAGTTGTACTCTATTTAATGTGAGGGTATTTTAGGAAAATAGCAATCTAAATTTACTTTTCCAATAAAGTTAACTACTTTTTCTTAAACTGTGTGAAAAAAGAAACAGGACTATCAAAGTGGGACGGAGGGAGTATTATTCTCTACCAACTTGAGTGTGCGCATCGCTCTTACATTTACATCCTGCGGTTTGAATTGTACGTTGTCGGCCGAACAACTTGAATAAATGCATGTTTATGCTGCCAAATAAAGCTTCTGTCATTGCCACTTTCTTGGCTTTGCCAGTGATGAATCAAGGCCCCAACCTTGCAATAAAGATAGTGCAATCCACCACTATGCATGGTGATTCGATGCATGGTCGTGTCAGTTCCATGTTAGAACACTCTTGGATAAAATGTCCTATCACCCAAATTTAGTCACAACAAAAATAGCATTTATGGCGAAAAAAATTATTCGTGATATTTTGTAGTCTTTAATTAGTCTAGGTGGTTGTAAATTCGAAGATTTTCTTTTAAAAAAATTTATTCAAACACCAGAAATGCCGGCATGGCAGCTATTATTAATTTATATTTGGCTTATTTACATGAAAATGGAATGAAAAATCTTAAAAACATCTTCACTGCACTTGGGCTACGGCTTAACAATTAATTAAGAGGTTGACTAACCAGTTTTCAAATCTAAATTTGTTGGTTGAATTTAAGGAGA